TGTCTGGGAAAGCTTCTCGCAGTTCAATTGGCTAAACATGAGAGTCAGAATTGTTAATAAGAGCTTTGAAGGACCCTTGTTCTCTCTAAACTCTTCAGTCTCTTAATAAGACAAACCTTCCAAGGATTATGAAATGACAAGACAACTTGCTCAAGCAGACAATTCATTTCATATGAGGACAAATTAAACAGTTCCAAAATTAAAAGTAAACATTCTAGAGACTGTTGTAGATTCCCTGTACCTTGTTTGTTTTGGTATGCTTTTCTTTTAAACATTATTTTTCTTTCTTGTTGAAAAGTATTTTGATAATGTTATAAACTCACAACTGTTTTGAAAGTAATTTTTCTTAGTAAAAATATACTATCTTTCTAAAGTAAAAGTTTTTTATTAGACCTCTCCTCCCCTTTCAGTCCGTCCCAAAGATAGCATTGTGGAGAGGTTCCCAAACTGTTTAGTAAAGCAAATGCCCCCTAAAGACGTCTAGTACCCCAAAGCACAATAGGAACAATTTATTATTTGGCAAGGTAGACCTGAGGCAAATCCGAATGTTCTGATTGATTCTTACTAGGTCCGTATTTTGCAATAGGGACCGTTTCCACAGAAATGGCCACATTCTGAGTAACTGATTTTTGTTCATTAAATCCGGCAAATTCAAAGCAAACAAGTTTGGTCTGAGTGCCATATAATAAACCACTTACTGACCTTACTTACTCAAGCTGTACTGGGAAATAATGGCCCTCAGTCAGTTTAGTATGGACCTTGCTGCACTTGGTCCATACCGCCATAACCCCAGGCCAATATTTCCCTGTAAGGCCTTTATGCTTGGTTAGTACTAAGAAAATGTAACACTCAATTCAAAGATAAAATTTCCGAAAGGATAGCTGAATTAAGATCTGGATTTTTAGTTTTGGCAAATTCAAGGCAAATTCAAATACCAGTAATCAATACATCCCCATCCACAAAATGTTTCCTGTATGTCGCTCTTTGAAGTCGTTGGATTGTACATTACTGTGCAATTTTCCCAAATAGAGCAAACAGAATTTAAGTAAAAGTTAAAACAAAGCATCTCTGGGAATCATTTGACTATACCTCAAACTCAAAGCATAGATTTTATGCAGTGATGGCTAAAAAAATCTCTTAATCACATGCTAAGTGATTCTTACCACATAGAGTGCATGAAGAGCTCCAAGAAGTGACACAGACCATGAATTTGGGAATGTGTCTTTTGAAATGGTCACCAGGAGTGGGCATCTGCTTCCGCCCTTAAGAGCCCTTTAGAAAATGATAAAACACCATAATTTATCGACAGTGTAACAATTTCAACTGAGCCTGCCCAGAGTGTCTGTGACAATATCATATCAGCTAAGGCTATAAGGACTCACAATACAGTTTTTTGCAATGCAGACCTTTAAAATGGAACAAAAAAGGTTTTTAGTGACATGCAAGCATTTGCTGTTGGTTTTTCAAAGCATCCAGTCAGAGTGACTTTATGGCCATCCTTACCGAGTTTGACAATATTAACGTGGAAAATAGCCATGGCTTTTGTTTCCATGTGGAATGTCTTAATTTTCAAATTCCAGAAAGCTAAAAAAAACAACTTTTCTTGGCACCCGCAAAATTGGGTGGATATTCCCTAGATCAACCGAGATTATTATTATTATTATTATTATCTTTTTTTCAAATTAATCCAAAATGTTTGAAATTCAACGAACATTTATTTATTAGTTGCCAAAAGAGAAGTGAATGATTAATTTGTAACATACTCATATTACTGCACAATTAATGAGGCTCAGCCTTTCCCTAACATAGAAAATAAAATAGTTTTTATATTTCCAGCACACATTTTCACTCAAAGTTAAATAAAAGGTAACTATTTTAAATTAAAACTCAAGTACAGTGTTTCATTGTTATCAATAGTTGCCTTGAGGTAGGCGATTATTGTAAACGTTTCCATTTTATTTTTTATATGTAATAAATCTTGACCAAGTATAACACGCACATCTCTTCTTTTCACCCACGAAAAACCATGATATCAAAAAAAGAAGTTATATACACAAATGTGCATATACATATGGGAAAAAACACGTTGTACATATTAAATCACCTTTTCATTCCATTCATTGCTGCATCATAGTATCGTCTCACATCATCGTAGTCCCTATTAACAGGGCCTGTCGGGGCATATACCTGAGTAGAGGTAATTTTTCAAATATCATTGTATGTTGTGCAAGATGCCACGGTCTACCAGATTAAGGGCTAGACTCCAGGTCCAGGGTAGCTTTGGGTTTGAGACCTGGACAGGTCATTCTGAGTCGTTCTTGGGCAAGACACGCTTATTCTCACAGTACCTCTATCTTCCCAGGGATATGATAGGTATTAAGAGCAACCTTTCAGGGAGGCTTAACAGATGCTGATAGGGAAGGAGCTGAGAAATGATCTGCACTGGACTGGCATCCCATTTAATAGTACTAATGTTCTTACATCTAGTTGCTTCATGCTACAAACAGAAGGATAAGCTCCCCTTAGACACTTGGAACAAGAGCAGACTTTTCATGGAGACAAAAATTTTAAAACTCTTAGGGAAGAAAGTTAAAAATCCACTGGACCTTGACAAACTGTTATTCTTTTTACATGATTATGGGTCACTGCACGGACCATTCATATAAACAGAGTGCAGCTCCACAACTAAATTTTTCATAGATTCCTAGCACCTTATTGAAAATTTCCGTAAGCTTACCATTGGCAAGTCTTGGTCACAGAAAAACACCAAGGTCTCAACTCCAACAGCTTTATCCACCTACAAAATTATGTCTAAAACAGTTAGTGAGGTAATTTTGTCATGAGATTAAATTTCAAATAGATTTTCAAAAGTAATTAGGGATTATATTGGTCTTATTTATTTAGCTCAAGCCAAATAGTTGTCCATCAGGCTCTCATATGATCAGTCAACACCTACATAATAATTTAAAAGGAATGTTACTCTATGGATGCATCAATACCTTTGCAGCCTCCAAAATAGGAGTCTTCAGGAAATCCCATGCGGGGATACTCCAATCAAGATCTTCACACACAAGCACATAGTAATCAAATGTACCTTGCTTAGGACCATTGACAGGAAAAACTGGACATGGAAGCCTACAAAGATACAGATGCAACGATGATGTTACTGTTTTAATATCAAATTTGTCTAGAAACTTAACTAGTTTACAGGTAATTATGGGACATATGAGGCTTCTTACAAATTACATCCACCCTTTGTGGTTCAAAATTTCTTAAACCACTTTAATTCAATTTAATTTTCTATGTCTAAGATAATATTATGTTTCCATACAAACTATAAAAGAAAAACCAAAATTAAAATAATTTAACAAATTTTGAATGGATAAAAGATTTTAACCATAAAAAAGACAAGCAAGCAATAAATTAAACAAATTGTTTTTTTAGAAGCTAAATCATCAAGACAAAGAGCACCAATGTGAAAAACATCGAGTACTGGAAATGCAATAGCTTTTGCTGAAAATGGGCAAAAACTCTCAAATTATACCAGAACTTAAATGTTCATGTTTTTTTAAGATAATTTATTTAGAGTTCCAAGGACCCAAGTTATATATATTTTGCTTTTAAATGGTAACGATATCAGTGATGCTTTAGTTTTCCTTACATAATAGATGGAACTGAACTTCTTCGCAAATATATGTGCTGAGGCTATTCCTCAACAAGTCGTAAAGTCCATTCCGCAGTTCATTATTTTCTATAGATACGTAAGACCATGATGCCTTGATAGCTTATTCTTCTCCTTTACATTTTCTTTCAATCGCATGTGGTGGAGCTAGTTTGCTCTGGAATTGTGATTTGTCTTTCTTGTTTCCCACCTTTCACCATATGGTAAGTTCGGATAGTTTCCGGACATTGGTGTAATAATTTGTGCTTATTTATGTTGTTTACGACCTCAACTTGAGAATCGTCGATTAATCATAGGAAACCGCTATCTTTCAAGATTTGTGTCATGTCGCAACGAAGAATTCTCTACGGAAGGTTAGAGTCGCTGGAAAGATCTCGCAAGGAGCATTTGTTGTCCGTTACGAAAGCGTGTAACGCGCTAGATAAAAGTCTTGAGGATTTTGGAAATTTTATTAAGGTACGAATTCAACAAACACAAGTTAATAACGCGTTCCAGAGCATGCTGAGATAAATATGATTTGCTTGACGCTTCCTGTAAAAAATATCGGAGTGTTTTGAGTGACTGCGATACTCAACCGCCAGGTCACAAGCTTACATGATAAGATTGAAAAATTTTGTTATTGATGCTGCCGAATTTTACCATAACCAAATGGCTGAAGAAGTAAACGAGAAAGGGAATCATTCCCAGCCGGAATCTGTGAAATCCGGAAAAAGTTAAGCCTCAAGGTTGAGTGTGTCTGGTTCGAAAACCCATGAAGCTAAAGTCCTCGCTGCAAAGGCAGTATTGATGCAACAACAGGCTGAAGAAAGAAATAGAAGGGCAGTTAAGTTGGAGGTGAAAAGGGTTGAGATGGAGATCAAACGAACGCAATTGGAACGGCAACATAGACTTGAACTAACCAAACTGGAGGCTGAAAGACTGGTTGCGGCTGCAAGGGATCAAGTAGAACTAGCCAAGCTAGAGGCGTTTCTGTCAGAACAAGCAATGTCTGAACTGACTATCCAACAGGAGGGTGCTAAGGGGTCTCACAAAATTGAAAAATCTCCTGCAAAGGACAATCTGATGCAACTTCTCCGAGTGCCAGTCGCTTCTCTGCCTTCAGTGATTTCTTGCAGTTTTACTCCTGTGTCAGTTATAAACCCACCCCTCACGTCTAAACCTGCAGTAGAAAACCCTGCAGGCACTACCTCCATGAATGAAGCCGGAGGAATCTGTGTTAGTGATCCACTTGTCGTTCAAAAAAGGAACTTAATCCAGCCGTTGATAAGAGAAATGTGTCTAAGCCCGTCAAAGGTGATCGCTAAAATGAGTCCAATTCAAACCCGTAGACTTCTGTGACGTTCTCTACAGTCACGCCCAATGTGTCCAGTGCAACTGTGAATGAAAGCCTTGCACCTTCCTCGATGGAAAGGACGAGTGCTTTTCATGATCTTCCTCATGTGCCAGTCCAGAAGTTTGATGGATCACCACAACAATACCCTGCCTTTTGCCAGAGGTTCAAACAAGTGGTTGAGACGAAACCACTTGACGATGCTGTCAAAATGACCCAACTATTACAATTTTTAGAGGAACCTGCGCTCCTTTCAGTTTCGCAGTACGAGTACGACGATTACGATTTCGCTATGCCCTCAAACTATCTCAAAGTTACCCTAAAGATTGCTTGAGAAGGAAGAACCAAATGATTAATCGACAACAGACAGCACAGCGCGCACTAACAGGAGATGGGGTGGTAAAAAACACGCAGAGCTACCTTCGATGTAAAATTTGCGCTTCAGTAAGACATCTACCTAAAATGGATAAGTTTGTGGTTCAATACTTGCCTCATTTTCTTCTCCTCAAACATCTCGCCTCGCAAACCGAAAGTACTGCAAAAGCGGCGCAAACAACTCGAAGGGTCACGTGCTTGCGTGTGATTACCCTTGCTACCTCGTGTAAAATTCATGATGCAAACTGTCTCAAATAGGACCCTCCCCGTAGAGGTCGAGAAATTCCTTCAAGTGCATATTCATTCATAATAAATCGGATTCAGCGAGAAATAATGCTATGAGTAATTATCAAGCATTTAATCGAAGGTCCCCTGAAGCCCTGAGTCAAAAGCATTTAATTAGTTCTGACAGTAATACCGCTGAATCATTCACTAAGATCACTTGAGTAACGGGAATGATCTCCAACCTAAGGAGACTTTACTTGTTTAACCAATTCTCCTTTTCAGTTACAAAGGAAACTTATAAAAATGAGTATGGACAATATGTATACTGTTTCTAGGGTGTAAAAGATCGATCATGTCACTTTACTTTCCGGAATGAGTTGTCACATTGTTGCATGGTCCTTATTTCAGAATATCACACAAAAATATGATAAGTTGATGGAAGCAAATGAGATATTTTTTTCCTTGGCTGTAACCGCCCCCATGCGGAAGTCGTTTCGTTTCTACAATTCAACTGGGGAGGACTTACCAGCAGGATTGCCTGCTAGCAAGTATTCTTCTGACTTGTTGAAAGCTTGTGAAGATCACTTTAGCAGAATTTACCCGGACTTTGTTAACACTATAAATCATGAAACTGTCGTGTGTCCGCTGGGATTTTCTTTCGAATACATCCCTCCAACGAGAGAGACTACGGGAGCAATTCGCCTTACTGAAATCGAAAGGGAATATTGACGGAGATAGCGCCGAATTCCAACTGTTCTACGTACTGGGAAAGTTTGGGAATGAAACTAACTAACCGATGTTCGTTGTACTAAAATAAAATTTGCTAAGTTCATCAAAAAATATTATTCACTAAAAGGTGCCGCTTAATCGTCCGACTCTGACGACGCCAAAATCGACTTTGCGATTGTGCATCGTCATATTGGTGTCGTTCTCATCGAAGGTCAATCAACAAGAAAGTTTTCTAAGTCACGTCAAGGGAAAGCATGAAAACAGCTTCAAGCTGGTGAGTAAAAAAATTTGGGCTCTTTTGCAAGTTGATCAGAGTGAGGAAGTTTCTATTCCTGTCTATAAGACAATTGCTATGCCAAACGTAAGCGAACCTGGTCGAAGAAAGCAGCAATAATAATCTAGCACCTTTCATATGATATTTGTTACTTTGGTGGTTAGGCATTAATCATGAGATAAAATACGAATGGAAGCTTGTTTTTGTTCGGGTAGGCAGTGGTTTTCTTTATGAAATAGAAACAGTTCTTCAAACAATAATTAAAATACATATGAAAGAGAAAGCGGAAGTCCCAAAATAGTCTTCATTTTCAATTTTCGTATTTACGGAATAACAATCCCTCATACTCGTGGATAGCCAATGTTAACTAGGAAAGGCCAGTCTGTTGAAAGCTAACATCCAATATTCAATAAATATGAAACATTTGAAAAGGAAAACATGACGAAAAGCATTCAAATGGAAAATCGAAAGGGTGCGGCTTCCGTGTTTCGCGTTTTTTTAATTTAACTCAAGCTCTTGTTAACTATAGGCAAAGACAAGCTATACTATTGATTGCTCGATTCTTTCAGGGCACACTTGACTAGAGACGCATATTTTTTGTCGCTATGCCCTCAAACTATCTCAAAGTCACCCTAGAGATTGCTTGAAAAGGAAGAACGTAATGATTAGTCGACAACAGACAGCAAAGCGCGCACTAACAGGAGATAGGGTGGTAAAAAACTCGCAGAGCTACCTTCGATGTAAAATCTGCGCTTTAGTAAGACATCTAGCTAAAATGGATCAGTTTGTGGTTCAATACTTGCCTCATTTTCTTCTCCTCGGACATCTCGCCTCGCAAACCGAAAGCACCGCAAAAACTGCGCTACACAGCTCCTTGGGGCCCCGTAGGACTGCATTAAATATTCAAAACACTAACGTCAGACGACGTCTCCGAAGAATGTTCGGCAAATATTTAATATAGCGGCCGAAAGTTGCTGCAGTCGATTTCCTAGTTCACATTAAAACTATGTTCTTCTGCAAAGAGTTACCATTCTGTACGGTAGGTTTGAAGTTTCCATGAGTGTTTGTTTTCATAAGTTTGTAGCGTGTGAAGGTTTTGTCGTGCATATCGTATAAACGAATATCTTTTGCCGTCGCTCAGAGAGGTCCCTACGAGTCATCCCTTGACAGCGTCGACAAAACCCGGATCGGATTGGTTACCCGTGGTGACACCGTTTTCCGCGAAAAACGGTGTTACCCGTGGCAACAC